GGATTTTAAAAGCCTAAAATCAGTAGGTCTCAGTTATTTATCTACATCTAACCTGTGATTCATCCTCTATAAGTATAACTAATTTTGGAACTCAGACTTCCATAATTACAATCCTATACTACATGGAAACAATAATGTGGTAGGCAGAATTTTAAAATGATCTCCTCAAGATCCCTGTACCTGAGATATTCAAGCAAATATACTTACACATATTCATAAAGAATTTTTGGAAGGAGAAAGGAGAAACTTAGTAATGCTTATCTTTGGGGAACAGGAAGGCAAGGAAATCAGCATGTAGTGACCTTATAATAAAATATGGCTCTAAAAATAAAATGAATAAAGAAAACAAATTATACCTGCATTAGCTTTCTATTGCTATGTAATAAGTTATCAAAAATGTAGTGCCTCAAACATGATCATCAATTCACTAATCTTACAGGTCTGTGGGGCAGAGGTCCAGGCAGGCTCGCCTTGTTTGCACTTAGGGGGGCTCTCAAGGAAGCAGATGCCAAAATCAAAGAAAGGAAAACAATCACAAGCTCCTACTTTCCCAGGAACCCTCACCTAGTTTTTCTTCTTAGGATATCATGTGGTCAAAATCAAAGAATCAGCTGGGCTGGGCTCTTATCTGGAGACTGGGAAAGAATCTACTTCCCAGCTTGTACAGGTTGTAGACAGATTCAGATCATCACGGTTATAGGACTAAGGTCTCCATTACATCCTGGCCGTCAGCCCGAGGCAACTCTTAGCTTTTAGCAGTTGCCACATCCGATCATTCCCATGCTCCAACTGCTCCAGCCATCAACCAGAAAACTTCTTTCTTTCACAAGCTTATATGCTTGGGTCAAGCCCATTCACATAATCTCTGTATAAAATGTTGGCTGACTTGAGATTTTAATTACATCTGCAAAATCCTTCCACAGATGATGAATACAGGTGTGGACAAAAGTAGGTTTACAATTGTGAGCACACAAAGCACAATTTATTTTTGTACTTTAATATACGAATTACTGTCTTTTTTATTTGTATCCCAACTGTAAACCTACTTTTCCCCACCCCTGCGTATTATGTGAGAGGAACGGCTTCCCCACAACCTTGCTCCTGTTGGATTCTACCAGTTTTTAAACATGTTTGACAGCATGCTAGATGAACCATGCTCCCTCATTATCCTAGCTCACACTTCTCTTATGATTGCAGTGAATCAACATCTTACACTTTTTTGTTGGCCATTTACATTTTTTTCTGTGACATGCCATTTACATCTTTGCCCATTTTTCTCATGGTACATTCATTCATTTTCACATTAATTTACACAAGCTCTTTATATATGAAGACAACCCGCTGTTCAACAGTCATAAGTATAAAACATCTTCACACTTTTGCTTTTGATTTTGTTTATTACACAGAAACTTTCATTTCAGGAGAGACACACTGGCCTTTTCCTTTGGAGTTTCAGGATTGAATTTCATGCTTAGAAGCTTCCTGGAAATAGGAGCCCGGGATATTCTACCGTCCTTTTTCTATCATGGGACTGCCCTGCTCACTGCTCTTTGAGGAATCCCTGGCTTTCAACAAACACCGCTTTGTTTGTGGAGATAAGCGGCAGGACACTGTGCCAGCATCGCGTTCCCCGGGGCACGGCTGAGACATCTGCACACACAGCTCATCTCCACCGAGTCATTCCACGGGTCTCATATCACCTGTCAGTGACGAGTGGCCTGACTCATACTGTCCCTACCCGAGGAAAATGGGAAGTGTAACTTTATCTTTGGGGTCAATAAGCACTGGAAGACGGCAGTTTTTCTTTCTCTTGTTTTCATGGAGACATCTGGGAACCCTGGCCTGGCATTCCGTGTATCAAAACCTGCCAGAGCCCTGGCCAGTTTGGCTCAGCGGTTAAAGTGTCGGCCTGCAGTCTGGAGAGACCCGGGTTCGGTTCCCGCTAAGGGCAAGTGCCTCGGTTGCAGTTTGTCCCCGACCCAACGGCCCTGGTTGGGTCGTGCGGGTGGCAGCCACTTGATGTGTCTCTTTCACATCGATGTTTTTTTTTTTTTTCTCTCTCTCTCTCCCTCCTGCTCTAGCTGAACAAAAAAATGAAAATATATCCTCGGGTGAGGATTAAAAAAAAAACCTGCCAGAGAAGGTAGCAAGAGGAAGGAAGAAGAGGCATGGCGAGGGAGGAGGCATCTCACACTATTCAAACATGAGGACCAGTTCCTCCCTTAATTTACACCTTCTTCTTTTTACACAGAAATAGGAATTTGCCAGACTGATAAATGCCATTTCTCATAAAAAGTCGAACAGGTGTCTACAGCTTCTGAGGAACAACCTGTTGGCTCTGTAACATAAGGAAAAATACTCTCAGAACCTAAGAGAAAGGTTCCTCTCTGCACGCTTCTCTGATTAAATACTAAAATAATGTTTGAAGGGAAAAGAACTCCAGCTAAGTCTACACAGAAAAAAGAAAATAATTAAAAGGATCATTAAAGTCTTAACCACATTTTCTCTAATCTCAAAATGAGAAGTGAAGAAAATCACAGTAATAAAAGACTAATCAGAAGGCACATAAAGTGTAGTGCAATTACCACGAAACACTATAAGGAGGAGTAGGATTAATTTTTTTAATCACCATCGAATTATATGAAACAAATAGAATTCATCATTCACTTAGCACCTATATACCACCGGGCACTGTACTGGAGAAATGTGAAGAAGGAAAAAAGAGAATTCCAGCCCCCAGTAAGGAATGTGACCTTGCTTGACCCCCTGTCCGCATATTACATCATATGACAATGATGTAATACAAATCTCCAAAGTATAAATGCTAACAATATAAACAGTGTGTACATCACAAAGCTTTGGAAATACAACATTCCAACTGCTTATCCCTCTCCCTAATCACATCCCCCTCATACCTCTCAGGGGTAATGACTATCATGAAATTGGTCTTTAAAACTACCATGTTTCCCTTTATACCATTACTACAAACATATACACATATACATACATATTTATGTGTATATGTATATGTGTATCCCTAAACAAAATATTCTACATAGCATCATGTTAGCCTGAAATGAATGGTTTAAATAATATCCTCTTGTACCTTGCTCTGAGCTTCTCCCATGTAGATACATGCTGGGCTTCAAATGTTCAGCTATCACGGAGAATGCTGCTACGAGCAGTCTAGAACATGCCTTCTCATGTATGTGTGCAGTGTCTCTACAGTTTTACCTGGGAGTGGCATTTCTGGACTCTAGTGGTCTTGTTACAGAATCATAATTTTATCGATTTGGTCTTTTACCATTTTTATTTTACCATCTTTTATTTATTACTATGAATATAAATAAAATTTTATTCAGAGGGGCAACTACGCCTGCCTCTCCCTTCTCCCCAAACATGTTATGGATAACATCCACTCTGAAGTTGAGAGCCTGCCCCCGGCCCAAGCAATAGGATTTCTGAGGAAAAGTCACAGCCCTACTTTCAAATATGAAATCAACATCATCTGAAAGCCTATCAGTGTTAAGTTAGAGTTTTCACAATAGTGTAATAGAGGAGGAGCTCATCCTGTCAACCCATCATTCTTCACAATCCTGAACACATCCTCCTAAAACACAGATCTTTCTCAAAATCCTTATAAGGCACACAACGTCAAAACTCTTCTACTCTCTGACTTCCATTTTTCTTTCCACCGTCATGTTTTCTTACAATCAAGCCTGCTCTAGCTGCACCCTGGGAATTCTCCTTCTCTCCCCCGTTTCTACCTGTCAGCGTCATGCTCGTCTTTCAACATCATAAGTAGTTCCTTCAAACTCTCCCAGATTTTTCTGATTGGAATTAACCCTTTTCTTCTTTGCACCATCTTGTATAAAACTTTAAACACACACACACACACACATACATACACACCCCATACAAAGTAGTCTTCATTGCACAGTTTTTGTGATATGGCTCTGCCTTCCTTATAATTAGTACTTGAGCCTAAGGGCCTTATCTCTTGAATCTTTATTGTCCCTACAATGGTTCTGGATGAAATAGATAATTACAAATGCTGCTGACAAGTAAAACTTTAGATAAACTGATGCACACATACAAAAGAAGACACAGTCTACACTGCTCATATTGTTTATAGTAGCTAATATAAAAGAGATAAGCTCATTTTTTAAGGAGAAAAAAAATGCCGACTCTTTCTGATGGAGTATAGAACATGCAACCCCAAAATACATCACCTTGGCATACTGAATAATTGAAGCTGAAGGAATGTGGAAAAGGGTGTGTGCAGAAAGACCTGCCCTACAGCAGGCCATAAAACCCTCATCAGGAAGATACTGTCTCTGTGCCAGGAGTAAAGAAACATCCTTATCTCTTAAGATAAGGGCCATAGAGGAATCTGAAGAATAGGTCTTGCTAAATGCCCCCAGTGGATCACAATTAGCTCACCCTTGCCCTGTCACATTTTTGTACAACTTTGCAATCTTCATCAATCTAGTATAAAAACAGGTTTAAACATTTCTTTGGGTATTCACTGCCTGATCAAGGCTCCTGTGTCATGTAAAACTCATACTAAATAAGTTAGTGTGTATTCCTCTTGTTAATCTGTTTCAGGTCACTGGGAGAACTTAGAAGGGTGGAGGAAAATGGTATTTTTCTTCCCCTACAGTTCTTATCACTAATCCTCTTCATGTGAACCAACATGTTTGCATTGCCCAAAGATAATCCTCACATGCAAACATCTTGCATCATCCCCAAATTTAGAAACTGAGAAAGAAATAATTGAGAAAGGATCCCACCTAAAAAGAAATCCTCGATTTTAGAGTCCAGACACTGTGAAAGAGGGTAGGGTTTGGGCTAACATCAGAAAGAACACCTTAGTGATAAACCAACAGGAAAACCAAACTACAAGACAAGAAGACACACCTGAATTTCAAAATGCCTGGATTATTTTGAAAAAACTAGCAAAAAGAAGTAAAATCAAACTCAAGGGAAGAACGAATTACCTGCGTGAGCCGAGAGGGGCGAGTGTGGCCGAGGCAATGCTGTTGACTGCCCATTGCCTATCAAGCTTTTCCGGTTGCTTGTTCGGCAACTATCAAAAGGAAAGGAAAAACAAAGTTTTAAAAAGAGCATGTAGCATTACATTAATAACAATAATAACCATTCAGGCATATTCAACATAGGCACAGACTAGAGGTTCAACAATCTATCAGGACATACTATTCCCAACAGTTTTGCAAGTTGATATGCACTCACTAATATTTGAGGGGTGGCTGCCTCTTGAATATTAGAAAATATAAAGTATTCATGTAGTATAACATCATCAATATTCCTCACCACCAGTGAAGCCGTAATCAAATGCCTTCTTTCAGGTCTTGACTGCAAGTACGTGACATGCCGTACATACAAGTGATAAATTAGGGATTCAAATCAGCAAACCACAGGTAGCATCTTTGTTGACATGAAATTCCTAATACAAAATTACATGCAATGAAGTGCAATGACATTAATCTTACAACGATGCACTAATTAAAAATCTAATTATTTAGACAAATTTCATATTTGTGCCTTTTGTCAATAAAACAGCCGATGCCTAAGATAAATGTATTTCACTACTCCTTCATTTTTCATCTTGTACACTGCATTCAAATTCCTAATTAAGGTACATATTTTGGAATCATAAAAACAGATTCCAGAGTTTGTATAAAATTAACAGTGCAGGCCTTTTTCACAAGCACACTACAGACCATTTCTATTCTGGTTCTCTGTGAATAGAAATAAGTTGCTACGTATGGGCCCAGGGCAACTGTCTTTTCCTGTTGCTGCTAGTATAAAGTTATAAAATGACGAATCTTATTCCAAAATAACTTTCACAAGCCTCAAAGTAACTGAGACAAATGCAAAACTGGTTGATGGTGGCGTAGATATTTCCATTTGCTTTTCTTCGGTACAGTTTGGCACGCACTCTCTATTAGCACAGACGCTAAGACAGGATAATAAATGAATTCACCTATAATAAGGTTCAGGGCAGTCTGATTCCATTCCCCTAAACGCGGGCTGCCTTCAATCACCATTAAAGGTTTACTGGAATGTCTTTTTAATTCAGAATATACCTCTGTTAGCACAGGTTCCTGAAACAGGAAATTTCACCTGACTTCTAAATTAGATATACGGGATATATTTGAGAGTTTGTATAAAATAGTTCAAAGGACCATTTCTAAATATGCAAATACACATTTCAAAACCAAACACAATTTCTTTCAGCAGTATTGACTTGCAAACCAGTCCTCTCTCAGAAGTTTACTGCTCGTCATCATTTGTCAACATTCCCATATTTATCACTTCTTAAGGTCAGGCTGCATCGTTCTATGTTCCATACTGGAGCAATATCCATCTCCTCGCATTATCTGTGAGTATAATTAAGATCATGTTTACTCAGCCTTAAAGAAGCTGTGGAATAGGAATAGCCCTTGATACTTAATTATGAAGGTGGATTGTGGTATTATCAACTCATCTATCAAGAACTGTATTCAACCTATTACATTCATAATTATTAAATCAGATGGTGTGATTGTTTTAAAAAGAAACTGTACAAGATATTTAGTGTTAATTCAAATTAATGTCTCCTTTCATTTCAGTACAGATATTTTAAGTATATCAACTTGCTGGTGTTAATAAAAGAAATTAAAAAATGACAGATTTATACCCTGGAAAGCTCAGCAAAGTTACTTGTTAATCTGAGTAAATTAATTGAAACACAGGTTAACTATCAAAAAATGGCTACTTGTATTATTTTTATTTAGTATTTGCTCTACATCATTCATGCAGATTTTCTCTTGACATTCAATTGTTGTTTATATATGTAAATCAAATTAAAATGTACATAAATAGAAACAGTAATCTGATGAATATCTTAAATAGGGATATTAGTGAAATGTGCTGACTTAAACCTAAAATTTTAAAAATATTTCTTAAAGAAAACTTTAAAAAATTGAATTTTCATTAAGAGACATAGAATGACTAGTACACTACCACAATAAGCAAAATAAATAGCCAACAATTTAAATTTATAAAAAAGAAAACGAACAAAAAAAGCTAACATTTTTATCAGTTATTTTAAAATCTACTGTAAAAGGGTAGAAATCTATTGATTTCTAAAATGTGATTTTAAAAAATCTCAAAAAGAAATGTCTAAACAAAACCTGAAAATGGAATATACTTGCTTGGTGAATATGAAAATATAAAACTATGAAAAGAGTTTATATTACACTCACCCTGTGTTTACCTTCTCTCTATAAAGGTTTGTAATCTTGACAGATGACTCTAAATGCAATTTAGAGTGAAAAAAAAAAAATAGGATAGGATTCTTCATCTATGAACACGTGAGCAAGTAAAAAGAAGTTAAAAGCTTCAAAATTTGAAGTTTACCATATTTAAGGTACTGGTAGTATGTTACACTAAACTTTAAATAATTGGCATATCTTATTGACAAATGTAACAATCAAAGCTGAAAGTGTGGATCTTCAGCATGAAGCTGGAGACAGTATTAAAGTGGTAACAGACTTGGAACTTTCTTGAATCCCTCAACCATCAACCAGGAAGATGTTAAACATTAAATGCTCCTCAGTGTTGCAAAGCCAGACTTTATAAAATACTGGTCAAGACACATTTCCATGAAATGCACAAAATAAATCTCTATACTCAAAGTAGGGTCTTGGCCTTACATATGAATGTATTTGTTTGCTAATATTCTAAAGGGTGAAGTAGCATTTCATAGTGTATTTAACCTCAAAATACCTAAATCTTGATATATAAATACTTTCACAATCCTAGGACCCTATTAAGATATTCTGTAAATTGCCCTGGCTGGTTTGGCTCAGCGGTTAGAGCGTTGGCCTGTGGTCCTGAGGGACCCGGGTTCGGTTCCCGCTAAGGGCATGTACCTCGGTTGCAGTTTGTCCCTGGCTCTGGTAGGGTCGTGCGGGTGGCAACCACTCGATGTGTCCCTTTCATGTCGTTTCTCTCTCTCTCTCTCTCTCTTCCTCTCTCCCCCTCCCTCTCTATCTGAACAAAAATAAAAAAATAAATAGAAGGATAGGTATCAAATCTTCTTTCAAAAAAAAAAAAAAAAAGATAAAAAAAATAAATTAATTAAATTTTTTAAAAAAGATATTCTGTAAATCACTTTCCAAGGTTTGGGGCATGGGGTGATCATTCAATCTCAACGTTACCTGTGTCTGAGAGTCACCTAATCTTATTGCTCTAGATACCCGATTCCCAATAAATAAATTGAAATCTGCATTTAATCCCACAGTAAGAAAACTCCGGGCAGACAGGCCTACGAGTATTTACTACCTAGACTGCCTCAGCACCTGGCACCGCCCAGGTGCGAAATGCTGAGCTGACCTCCGCCTCATTATTTATTCATCCAGGTACCCCACTCTTCTCTGCTGATGAAAGGAGGGGCTCATGGCATCCAAGCGTGAGGCAGCTCCTCGGGTACTGGTGACTACACAATGCTCATCTGACCCGTAAACGATAAATAGTGGAAATATTGCCACTTGGGCAAAATCAAGGTCCCTTCCCTTTCCCCAGCATGACTAAGTGGGTTCAGCCTTGCTTTTTCTCAGGCAGTGTCCACTCCCCACCCCCGAAAAAACATGACGCTCTACCAGGTAACACAGTAACATCAATTCCACTGTAGCAGAAAGCTCTTATCTTTAAAAAATAATGTATCCTCACTGAAGCACTCGAGTTTGCAGAGATTTATCTTGGTTTCAGTCTTGGGAACAAAGGTATATAATTCCCAAATGAAACTGAAAGCCAATTATGAACTCAGGTTTCAGCTCAAGTTCATGCCAACAAGGATTCTTTCTGCTTCACTCTTCAAGAAGAAATGGAGCCCTTCACTCAGCCTGTGCTCTAATCTGAAAGCCGAAGAAGGGAGTATCCACCTCCCACGAAGCAACGCCTCCTGCTTGGGTCTCTGCCGAAGGAGCACATGGAGACACCTTCTTTGCCTGTGGGTCACAGGCTCTGTTTGCTCTCTCGGGTTGGCACAACGAGGGCACAGTTAGATTATTTACTCGTAAAGGACAGTGCAGTATACAGATTGTGTAACACAGACGTCCACACCTGAAATCTACATGATCCTATTAACCAGTGTCACCCCAGTATATTTAATTTAAAAAAAAAAAAAAAGAAGATGAAACGGTTTGTCTCAAGGGAGATTAGAGAAGATTTCTGTGTTCAGGTCATATTTTTAATATAGAGTTTTTCCAGAAGAGCAAGAGTATTCCTGTGATGATCAGAAAAAATAATCTAATTTAGCCAGAGGAGAGAGCCATATACACTTGAGACAAAGGCAAAGTGGTCTTTGCATCAAGTTGGGCTGATGGTAAGCATTTTTTTCTCCCTTATTCTATTGGTTCTTCTCTGGAAAGATCCACTCACAGGCAAGACATAAACACGCACACCCCACAGTACAATCAATACTGGGGCCCAGGGGTCTGAGACAGGAAGGTGGAAAGACGACAGTACTTTGGAGTGAGCAGGCTGGCTGGCTCCTGGGGGCAGGGAGACAGGGCAGGCAGAGACAGAACACTGATTACGAATGTCACAGCCGGACAGGCACGGGGTGGAAATGCCTGAGGCTGATACGAGGCCACCAGAAGGAAATGTTCTATTTGTCTGCATGTTTCTGCGGCTCGGGCAGGTCAAGTGAGGATTGAACAGGGCACCACTCCTGCTCCTTGAGTCCACGGTTCCCACTCACCAAAGCGGTCGCAGGATCTCCTAACCGCTGCCAACAGCGCCTTCCATTCGCCAGGAAGGTGGAGATGGATCGTGCGTTTCATGGCCTCAGTGAGGCCTGACGCAGTGTGAAGGACAGGGAGGAATGGGAATGCGGGCTGCAGGCTGCGGGCGGGGGCAGGTGCGGGGCGTGCGTTTCTGGTCCGAAGCACCCATCTTCTCTCTGCCTAGGTCGTCCTTCTGCTCAGGGTCCCCAGGAAGGGCTTGCTGGGGCCTGTCATCGGTTCACATCTGCTCTGCCACAGCTCTCCTGGCAGGAAAACCTGCTAATTATCCCCA